GCCAGTTCTAGCACTGCATGCCATCTGAAACATCCCAAGGAAGAAGTGGCACTCATCCACTTGCATTCTCTCCATCCTCTCACCCTACTCTTGCTGACTCTGCAATTGCATCTCCTCTTGTTTTGTCCTTTCCCCCTCTACCTTGATGTGTGCCTGAAGAGATTCAGCTGTGCAAGCTCACACAAGATCAGCAATGTCTTCTCATTTCTTGGAAGCAGAGGTTTTCTTGGTAGGGGAGCTGATGCCAGTGCTTTCAGGTTCTTGATCAACACCAAAGGCAGTGCTAGCTGAATGATTGTGTGGAGTGGCACCTGGCAAACCAAAGGGATTGGATGAAGTGGATGGGGAAGGGAAGGCACTAGATGAAGAGAGGACTCTTGGCCCAATGGGATCATCAGGATGCCTTCAGCAAGGGCTTCAAGGCCAGGAATTGAGTGACAAGATGGGAAAAGATTGTTGTCTTCTTCCATGGCATTGCCTGTATCACCATTGCTGGACAGTGAGGCTTGAAGAGGATCATAGGCACTGCTAGTCACAAGGGTGACAGGGCCAGCAGATGGGTGCTTCAACATCATCTTGTGAAACACCTTGAACCAGGGATACTTGGCAACTGCAGCCAAGTGAGATGCAAAGTCCTAATCTGTACAAGAAGATACAAAGGCAATTGCAGAGGTTAGTCATCCATCAGAGAGCAACATTGAGCACAAAGAACTACATACCAAATGATTAGGGCTGAGATTGTGAAGGAGAAGACCAGAGCCAGTCTGTGAGAAAGTATTCTTTATGGCAATGTATTGACTCTAAAGCCAGTGCAGCCTGGTCTTGACATGACTACCACCATATGTGATGTTGCTGTTGGGAAAGATCTCATCATAGATCTGCTTGTAGAGGGTCTCCTTGCTTGTCTTCAACCCTTTCTCTTGCTCTTTTGTCAAGCAACCTTTGAGTAGTGACTTCTGATAGTAGTTGCTGTCAAAAAGGATGGTGACAAGTTGCAAGCCTTTATCATTGGACCAAACAAAGTATTTCCTGCTGTCCATGTCCTGGTTTTTGTCAGAGGTCGCATGCCTGAAACCTGAGATCTGTAGTAAGACCGCTTCTATCACAGATCCTGTCGAGATATGTGATTGTATATGTAGTATTATGATTCTCATTGAGTTATGCTGTAGTGATGTCCTTATGGCTTTACTTGCTCAAATCTGTGATTGGGGTTGTGCTATTGCAGATTTCAACTGACCACTGTGGACACTCCATCCAGAGGTAGCTCAGCACAATCAATAACGATATGAGCTGTACTGACACCAAGGTCTGGTGTGAGTATGAATGCTTGGTGGTGTCGACATGAGTGTCCAGTGTGTTGACTTATTGCCTGAGGTGATCCCTGGACCACAGTGGACTACTGCCTTCAGTTCTATCTTAAATCCAGACTGCTGGTTGCTATGAACCACCTTCAGACATCAGTGAGCAGTGATACAACACACATACTACAATGAGAGGCAATCTACTTGATTGCAACTATGCTGACTAAAACCAATATGTACTTATGCTTGAAGTATTAACTAGTTGATATGGTGTAGAGTGGATGAGGATTCACTTGTTCACCTATGATGAGAAAGTATGATTATATACCTCTTTGCAGTGTCACTGATGACACTGCTCAGGCCCTCTCTCCAGAGGGTATCTTCTTCATCAAGTACTGTGCAGGAGTCCCTGTAACATCCCCTCCATCCTTACCTGAGCTGTATGTTGACCTCTTTGACACAGCTCTTCCTCCTCATGACCTGTATGCCAGTGTCCATGACACAGCTCTCCTTCCTCCTAACCAGCAACTGTTCTCCTGACTCTTATCTTGTGAACCCCTGAGTGGTAACCAGCTGCATGTTTCTGAGCTTGGTCCCTGTCTTGGCAGAGCTTGGTCCTCCTTGCATGTGAATTCATTGTATGAACATCCTTGTCACTGATCTCTGTGGAATCTGCTATATGACCTCTCCTACTACTGATCTTGGCAGGATTTGTGATATCATCCTTGTTCATGCAGATCTTGATGGGATCTGTCATAGAACCATTTCTACTACAGATCTCAATGAATTCTGCTGAAAATCCCATGATCTGCCCGATTCCTTGATTCCTGCACTCCCTTCATATGAGTTGACAGATCTTATTACTTCTTGCGCATCCAGGCCCATGACAGTTTTGAGTTCTGCTTGCACTAGCATCTGGTCTTGCACAATCTGAGGTGGTAGATGGGTTAGGTGGCTTGGGTGTCTGAGACAGTTTTGCTAAACCTTCTCTAATGGTAAGGTCCATCTCCAAGAGATACAGATCAACATAGCTGGTGTTGTGGCAATGATTGGTGGACATGCAATAATTGGTGAACATGATTAAGTTGAGGCTGGAAAGAGAGGTTGTGAGGTGGTGGCTAAATGAAAAGAGACTTCTACTCTGTGTGGAAAGGGACAAGGAGAGGAGTCAAGTGAAAGGGTTTTGCACAGAAGAAAGGGTTCATGTGAAGAAAGCTGTGCATGAAATGTGGAGGTATTTGCACAAGTAGATCACATGCAACATCATGTGCCACATCATGTGAGTGAAAACTCAGGTCCAATTTTGAAAACTCTGCTGCATGAGTACTGCTGAAGCAGTGTTTTCAGAAACTAGAGTATTTTCCAAAATGGTAGAGCTTATGTAAGTAATGAATATTCAACACAAGTGAAAACTAAAAAAAAAAAACTTGAGTTTCCGAAAAAAAAAAAAAAAAAAAAAAAAACTGAAACCTCTTACTCTAGTTTTCAAGGGCAAAAAAAAATACTGAAACCCCCTTGTGAGCTGTCAGACCACATCAAAAGATGCAATCGACGTCAAGTTTACCCTCTGAATCGAGCGCGCGTGTGTGTGTTGTGTAGCTTTGAGATGAGTCGGAGCAGAAACCGATCTCGAGCCAATCTCACCATCAAACAGCGCAAGCAAGCGTGCTGCGAAAGGAACAAGGCTATAGGGCTGAGGAACTCAATGTCGGCTGCATGATGTGATTGCACAGCAACGCACCTCACCTTTACTCCCTCTCGGCAAGCAGCCAAAATCAAGGATTTACAGTAGATGAGGTTCGCTCAGCCCTGACAAGTGGTCTCCTGAACAAGCCACACACGAACGCTGCTCATCCCACTTGATCGCCACAACTCACGCGCTGCGACTCAGCCCTGTGTGAGGGTGACTTACAGATTCGCTCCGTCATGTTGACCGACTCTCGCATCACTCCCTCCTCTGGCTGACACGGCGCTGACACTCTTCACTAGAGCATGGCGATAGCCTAGTTCAGCCCACCACAGCAGGCTTCATCGTATGATCACGTCGACCTCGTCACAAGACCAAATCAGAAAGGAAGAGCACGGCATAGGATTTAGATCGGTCATCATGGGGACATTGGCCCGACGCGATCACGATGGCCTGACCATCTGACTCACTGACTCGTTTAGCCTAGCTGAGCAGCGCTGGATGAGATAGGATAAGCTCAGCCCGGTCCCTTGTTTTTCTTTTCTATCGGCCATCCCGCGCATCATCACTTTTATTTTTTTATTTTTGTTTGATGTCTTTTTTTGACGGGCCGATTGCCCTGCATCTGATATTTTACTTCTTTTTTTTTTTTTTTTTTTTTTTTTTTTTTTTTGTTTTTGTTTTTGTTTTTTTTTCTCTTCTTTTTTTTCTTTTTCTTTTTCCGTTTCTTGCCGGTCATTTGAAGTCCAAAAAATGCCGAGCAGGGGGTCAAGGGGAGAGGCGTTATCATAGATTGAGATGGCGCGGCCACGTTGACTTGATTCAGAGCAAGGAGGTCAAGGCATCGCTGTCGCTCTCAGTATTGCGAGCGCCGAGCACCGCTCAAGCCCCGAGTCTTCGAAAGGCTGAGGATGAAAGGCGTGCGTTTGTATTCCCGTTAAGAAATCGCATCGTGTGGTAGCGATGCAAAGCAAAGCAAAGGACGGAGCATTTGCTTTCGCTCATTCAATGATTGTGATATACAGCAGACTGACGCTGTAGCCGAAGCTTCATCATTAGCAACCGGAGAGAGACGGGGCGGAGTCATAACTTTTTGTGGTTTTCAGCTGAGCCGTTGCCAATCGTGCTCATGTCTCCTCTCGGCTCCAAATGAGCAATCATTGACATGAAAGATGAGCTCGAAGCACGCCCACACTAGTGACCTATCACGACAGTAGTCTCACACAGAGTCATGAGTGAATGAGTCGATCCGCCCTTTGCGCGTCAGGCACCTGCGTCGATCGCAACTCTCTTTCCGTCCTCCGCTCCGCAGCCGCAGCCGAGCAAAGCCAAAAACGGCTTTGTGTGTGTGCAGTCAGACTGGCCACTTATCAGCTGGACCCTTAAAACAACGACTTCCCTCCCTCCTTGTCCTTGTCCTTTTCCCCTGCCCATCTTTGCTCTCTCCTACAACATCATCTTCACCACCACATCGACCCTATCCCAATCTTTTCTTTGAACCACTACAAACTCGACTACATCATCTCAACCAGCTACGAGATCAGCAGAACATTCCATTCATCCATATTAATCTCGACTGCGCCACCCAACATGCTTGCTTGAATCACTCACTAAGCGCACTCTGCTATCCTGCTGTGACATTCGCGGCTCGTCCTTTACCTTTATCTGCATTTCCTTGCAGCTGTAACTTCTATACCACCGAACTTCCTTGTTGTTTCAGCGCAACTGCTGGACTTCGTCTCGACACGATCCACGTCCCACCATGGATGTCGGTCACCTTTTTCGCCTCTCGCGAGTTTAATCGCCGCCCACCTGCAGGCCTCGCCTGATCCTATTCAAACTATCCTACGATCACTCTAACTTTGCTCTGCTGCACGTCCAGCTGCATTACACACGGTCACATTGACCTGCATATCGTTCCCATTCACACTTTCGGTACCTTGATTTTATCGCCGAACGCCTCAGCCACACATCTGTTTAGCCAAAGCGGCAGCACCAACATCGCTCTCATTATGGTGTCGCTACCACGCTTCTTCCACTCCACCACCCCCGACGGCACTGTTGCCACTCCTACGTCTCCGTCAATACAGCCCTTAGCTGTTGGTAACACAAGCAACATGAGCCGGCACAGCAGCAATCTGCTACCCGCTTTGGGCAGCCCAGGTAGTCTCAAAGCGGTGTTTAATGGCCCTGACCCTCGAGACTCCACCATGACCGACGAGTACGTGGACGAGATTGTGCCTGACTTTGTCCAGTGCTCCATTATGGGCTCAAACACCCCCTTCGGTCGCCGTTCACGCCTCGATGACTCGGCAGGCGAGGGTTTGCGCAGGAACGTCCTGGTCCGCAATGCTATGCTTTCGAGCCTGGAACGGGAGCGTCGCCAGATCGCAGAGGAGGCTTTTCTATCTAGCCCCCCGGCAACCACACTAACCCTGGACAAGAGCAACCCACATGACGATGTCGACGACGAGGCTCAGTTCTTTGAGGACTTGCTCTCGGAGCTCAGCGGTTCCGAATACTCGAGTCCAGCAAGCTCTATGCTCGAGCCTGTTGCACACACAAGCGCTGTAACTTCGCACACTGCCCTTAAATCGACAGAGGCGAACGATGAGGAAGACTTCGTCCAGCTGGAAGCCAACCTCCCCGGCGAATCTCTGCGCACCAATGACACCACGCCGCTAGCTGCGCCTGCTGCCATCACAGAAGCTCGAGATGAGGCGACAGTCAACAAGGTGCCTCAAACTCTTGTTGATTCGTGCTCGAGCGCCTTCTCGGCCGCTCCTGTCTGTGGTGACTCAGGCTTCACAGATGAGGTATCTCGACCCGCCTCGGCTGCCACCTGCTGCACAGGATATCCCAATGTGTGCCCTTACCCTGCCATCTCAAGCTACGTTGGAGGATCGTCGGAAGAACTCCCTGCCCTCATCGATGATGACGACAGCGATGCGGAAGAAGATGACGACGACGAAGCAGGAGAAGTTGACGGTGCAGATCAAGCAGCGCAAGACTTTGCTCAGGCTGTCGAAGCCGTTATTCAGCCAGCATTGCTCAGTCCCGACCGTGATGCCTCACGATCGAGGCCGCTTTCACCTGTCACTTCGCCTGTACATTCGGTCTGTGTCGACTACACAACCTTCCGTGATCAGCTCTCTCCCGAGCCCTCGCGTCCAACATCGCCCATCTCGAGTGCTTCGTCGAAAGGCGATGGAGACGGTCCCAGCCCTATGCTTCTGCCTTCCGACTTGGGCGCTCTTCCTTCAATAGCTGAGCTGTCCCTGCAACTTCCGATCGCATCAGGAGCAGATCTGCTGGCCCGACCCTCTCATGCTCTTGCAGGTGCTTGGTTTGACCACCACAAGGTAGACACTTCCAGCCATGCAAGCACGAGCGCTGACCGCATCCGCTGGACCACCTCCCCGGCCACCTACTTCCGCTCAGGGCCGGCGACTTCGTCGACGTCCACACTAACGGACTTCCAGCACCACCACCACCACCACCACCATAGACTTGCCGATACGCATTGCACCAGCAGCTACCCCAGTGTAGCGCCGAGCGATCTAGCTGATCACAACATCGTGGTTCACTGGTCGCGTTGAACAATCTTTACTCTCAGTCCCCGTCCCGTCTCGCATACATGGTCTCTCGTCATCGCATTCTGTCATCCCATCTCATTCTCTCACTGTTATTCTCTCAGCTCTCTTCCGCTCTCTCGATTCTTGCCCGTGTCTTCACTTTGTAGCTTTGGTTCTTCTCATTCATCCTGTACCATCTTTCATGCATCCATACCCTGGTCCTTTCTTATCGCAATGTCACTGTTCACACATCATACACGCACACACATGACTGTCAATGAAATGCTGTGAACGGCAAATGGGAATGACATTGCTGCTGCGATGAAATGTGATCATGCGATGTCACGAAGCTCAATCTCGGAATCGAAGAAAGTAAAGTCCTCGTCGACTTCGTTTTGCCAATCGTCGTCGTCGTCGCTGCCTGCTCCTGTGCAGCGTGTCAACCCCTTGCTAGCCTTTCTGCCTTCCCCTTGTGCTTCATCGTCCAACTCGTCTGTAGGGCCAAAGGATGATGAAGGTTGAAGATCACCAAATCTAGCTTCTGGGTTCAACACTTTACCAGCCTTCTTTCGGGCAGAGGCAGGGTCGAAAATGCTGTTGAGCAATCGATCTCTTTGCTGCTTGTTTGTCGTGGGTGCGTGACGAACGGGAGAGAGTTTGAGACGTGCGAGCAAAGAGGAAGATGCTTCGTGCTGATCTTCTTCGCTGTCTGACGCAGAAGCGACTGCGACTTTCCCAGCGGTCGGACGTTGAGTGGAGAGGAGCAGGGAGTACGATCCGAACTCCTCTTCTGGGTCAGAATTGAAGCCGATGCTCGGGAGAGATGGGTTCTGGCGGAGAGTTCCATAGCGTTGATAAGGGGTGATTGAGATGATTCTTTTGCCCGCAGCACTAGGCTTTAACGTTTGGTGTGACTTGCGTGGTTCATCTTCGTCGGATAGCTCTAGTGTTTGGACTTTTCGCCAACCTTCCACACTTGCATTAGACTTCTCGCTGTTGATCGCAATAGCACCAGTGCTGGGGCGGAGGGGACTACTTGCATCACTCCTCTCCTTTGTACAGCCAATTTTCGCTGCACTGCTGGGAACAGTCAACTCAGTGAAAGGCGACGAAACACTCGTCGCACCTGCACCGCTACGATACGCCGGACTAGAAGAAACATCGTTGTACCCACCCGTTTCCTCCTCACCATCACTACTCGAAGGGAGCACCAACTCAGTTCGAGACTTATGCTTCTTCCCCTCCAACGCCTCCTCTTCTCCCGTCTCTCTAGCTCGTCTCAGCCTTCGCTTTTGCACTTCAGCAGCAAACAATCCACCTATCGGAGCACTGGTATCATCCGCCATCACTGCATCTGCATCCTCTTCTTCCCCTCCAACCGCTCCTGTCGGGCTACTGCGAGGTAGAGCTGTGGTGTCACTGATTCCAAGCACGTTTTGCGGGGCATGGTTGCCAGACGGCGAGGCAAAAAGAGGTCGGAAACCAGGTTTTGCACTTGCTGCACGACGCAACTTCGAGATCGACTTGATTGGCGATTCCACCATTGCATCCTCTTCGCCCTGTGCCATCGGAGGATGAGGAATGCTGCGCGCGCGAGAAAACACCGATGCAGGAGCAGTAACACTTCTTCCAACCACCCCACCGAGCGACTTTCTCTGCGACCCAAATCCAAAAGCACCCAGACCCTTCTGCACTGCTCTTGGAGCCGTCCTGTTACCTTCTCCCTCCACCACTCCACCTCTGACTAGCGCATTCGAGTCACTGACCCTCCTTCTATTCGGTGTCGGAGGAACATCTTCACCTCTCAACCGCTTTCTAGCTTTTGTCCTTGGTGTATAAGCTACAAGTGCTGCGCTTAGTGCTGCATCACTCTTCATCCTAGTCGGCGAAAGGCGTTTTTTGGTGGGGGTGAGTCGAGATGCAGCAGTAAGTGTCGTGCGAAGTTTGCTTGGTGATGCTGTGACATATTCCTGTCCTTGCGGAGGTCTGCTTGCAGTGTTGCGTTTCGAGAGAATATCGAGTAGAGGCGACCGCTTGGTTGGAGTCATTTCAACTTCGATCATTGAGCATGCTGGGCTAGCTTCCCCCTCTTTCTCCCCTGCTCCGCCTATTGCTGAGGACTTACTCGGCGTTACCCATGGATTCTTCTTCCGAGACGGAGTTTTGGTTGGCGTTTTAAACGGGTTCCCCCTCCCCACCTCCGTCTCTACCTCTTTGTGCGAAGGTTTCTTCTTCGAAGGAGTGTTCAACCCTTCATCTAGCCTCTGCTTCGAGCTACTTGCAACACTGTCCCCCCTTTCCACCCTAGGATGAGGTTTGGATTTCGCAGTTTTTAAGTCTCCTCCGACAGCCTGCCAAGTGTCGTAGATACCTGCGATTTCGGGATCTGTCAAGATGTCGCGTTTGGTTGGATCTCGTCCGTGTTGTGCTTTGAAGGCTCGCTGCCATGTTCTAAGCTCGCGGCGAAGAGTAGCTTCCATCGCAAACAACCCGAATCAGTAAGCGCTGATACGTCTGAGGGAGGGGTTTCGGGAGCCAGGATGTGCGGTGTGTGGTTTGTAAGGGACGGAAATGATGATGGTTTTCGAGAAGGAACCCAAAAAGATGAAGAGTTAGGAAGCGCGATGCGTAGAATTCTTGTGTGAAGTGGGTGGTTCCATTTACGCGTCGCGCGTCGCGCGTCGCAGGTTGTGCCGTGTTTTGAGTTCCTTCCAAGGGTTGCAGTTGAAGAGCGTCGTCGTGATCAATCAAAGATGCGTCAATGTCGATGATCACAAGTATCGATTGCAATAATGTAGCATGCTAAATACAAGGTGAATTGTGTGCTTTATATAGGTCATGATGTTCCTTGCATATGTGAGTGGTGTTTGGGCAGCAAATCTGAAGCATGATCATGAGACTATGGATGAAGGACACTGGCTATCTGATGGCTGGTGTTTTGATGCTCAGCAATCAGCCTGGGCATTGCACTAAGTCTGAGTGAGTGAGGTTGGTGATTGGATGTGGGCTTGGTGAAGGCTGTTTGCTCTGATCAACTGCATGCATCTACACTGAGACAACATGGGCTTTAACTCCCCCCCTCACCAACTGAGCAAGTGTTTGGTCCAATATCAACAGTTCCTAGTCAGGTTTGTGTATGCATTAGTAGATTTCTGGAGACAGGCTTTGTAAGGAAATCAGCAATGTTGTCATTAGTCCTGACATATTTGATTGTAATATCTCCTTCTTGTACATGGTCTTGATTAAGATGGTATTTGGTGTCGATGTGCTTGAGTTTGGAATGCAGTTGTTTGCCACTTGGACACAACCTGTGCTGTCAGTGAGCACAACAGGTGTGTGATCTCCAAAGCCAAGCCTGCAGAGGAGGTTCTTATGGAATAGTGCTTCTCTAGTAGCTGCCAATCCTGCAATGTATTTGGCTTCGACTGCTGAGCTAGCAACACACTTCTGGATGTGAGAGTTCCAGGTGATAATACTGCCAAATACTTTGACTTCCAAACCTGAAGTACTTCTTTGATCTGCTTTGGGGTCTGAAGCCCAATTTGCATCAGTATAAGCCTCAATGATGTTGTCATTACTGTTTATTCCACCAATCCATAATATGCTATCTTGAGTCTGGTTTAGGTATCAGATGTTGCATAGCACTGCCACCATTGCTTCCTCAGATGGTTGGGACATGTGTTGTGCAAGGGTGTTGACTGCATAGCATATGTCAGGCCAGACAGTGTTTGATACCCAAAGGAGCTTTCCTATGAGCATTGGGTAGTTTTGCTTGAGTTTGTTTCTGTTATCAAAATCTTGGTTTGTCTTGGCAGGGGTTGTCATCATTGGTACCCAGGTCTTCTTGTTGGGACCTATCCATTCATTTATGATTTCCTTTATGTATGCTTGCTGGTCCAGGTCAATGGTGCAGCTTGTTTGATCTTGCATGATCTTGATCTTGAGAAACTCCATTACTGGTCCATTGTCTTCGATTTTCCATTTGTCAAGGATTGCCTGTTTGACTGCATCTACCTGAGATCTGTGTGGGGCCATGATCAGCATGTCATCAACATACACAATGATAATCACTTGCTCATAGCCCACTCCTTTGAGATATACACATGGTATTCCTCAAATTGGGAAGAATCCCAAGTGCCTCAAGTGAGAATCCATCTCCTTGTGCCATTCTTGCCTGGATTGTTTAAGGCCATAGAGGCTCTTAAGCAATTTGTACACCTTACTGGGCAGGATGTTTGTGCCTTTGGGTGGCTTGGGATAAAAATCATGTTCCAATCTTGCATTGAGATATGCTTGTTTTATGTCAATGGAGTCCAATTCCTGATTGAGTCTGGCTGCGATTACTAGGACCATCCAAATTGTGTCTCGAGGGACCACTGGAGCAAAGATCTCCATGTAATCCAATCCTTCTCTTTGTGAGAAGCTGTGAGCACACAGTTATTCCTTGAACTTATAAGGAATTCTGTTTGCATCTGTCTTGACATTGAGCACTAACCTAGAGTCTACAAGATGTGCTTTTTGTGGCATATCAGCCACCTCCCAGATACTCATGCTCTTGAGACCTTCCATTTCAGTGCAAATTGCCTCCTGCCAGTGTGATTGGTCCAGCCCACTAAGTGCTTCCTTTATTGTTGGCTTGAGGTTGCTGGTGACAATGGTATTTGCGCTCACATTTACACTTGGAAGAGTGGGTGATCCTGATAACTGTCATGGGACAGGATGCGCAGGAAACAAGACAATCCGAAGTCATATGAAGAAGAGCACAGAAATCGCAGGATCAGGCTATGCAAGAGCTTAAGGCAGAGTTCACTGAGATCAGTAGTAGAAATGGTTCTATGGCAGAACTCATCAGGTTCAGTAGGAACAAGGTCATTACTACAGAACTCAGTGGGAATGGTAATACCACACTAAGTATGACAGACCTCACAAGAATCAGTTCAAGAGGCACCTCTATCACTGATACAGTGAGAGGAGGATACCAAACAAGGGAGAGGTCACCACTGGATGAAGTAGGGGCCTTGCACAATGATGAAGTCGGTGCCAGCAGGTGGGTGCCAATGACAGGAGGGTGATGAAGGGGTGCAAGTCACCACCCAGATGAAGTGGGACTGGCCCCTGTTGATGATGAGGCAGTGGGAGGACCATCCATCCACAGGAGACAAGGGAAGTGGTGCCAACAAGTGGCATCGCAAGGTGGATGGAGTAGATAGGAGGGATGAGGAGGAGGAGCAAGGTTGAGGAGGCATCCCAGAACAGGAGCAGTGTCACAGGTGACACTACAAGAATGGTATATAACCATGCTCCTCATCATAATAAGTGAGTGGATCCCCATCCACTCTACACCATATATTACTAGCTATAACTTCACATAAGTATACTTAGTATTCCATCAGCAAGTTGCAATCACAATAGATTGCTTCCATTGTGGTGCATGTGTTGTATCACCACTCACTGACATCCAAAGGCAGTTCATAGTAACCAGCAGTCCAGATAATGATCATAGAACTGAAGACAGTCATCCACTGCAGTCCAGGGATCACCTCAAGCACTCAGTTGACACACTGGACACTCATGTCAGTGCCACCAACAATCACACTCACACCAGACCATGGTGTCAGTACAAAGTTCCTATAGTTATTGATCATGCTGAGCTACCTCTGGACAGAGTGTCCACAGCAGTCAGTCAAAACCTGCAATAGCAAACACACTACTACATCTTCAAGTGAGAAAAGTAATAGAGGCTTTACTACAACATATCTTGACAAGAATAAATATACACAGCACTCTATCACATATCTTGACAGGATCTGTAATAGATGCATTTCTATTACAGATATCAGGTTTCAGGCGCGAGACCTCTGACAATATCTTTCCTTGGTGGCAAAGCTTGCTTTGGAATCTGTATAATTCTTCTGGAGGGGGTAGGTGTGTCCAATAGATTCATAGTGATTCTGTGATTGTTGCTGGATGGTTCCATGGGTGCTTTTCTTGGGTTGTCCTGTGCTTGTTGTTATCTTTATTTGATGCTGGCAATGTCATTGATATAAGTGCAAGTGAGTCTCCTTAAATTGCCATATCATTTTTGTTGTATGGTCAATGGATGTCTCTGATTGTTTCCTGTCATTCCTTGTTGTGAATGTCCTCTTTGGTGAAACCCATGTGTTCAATGTTGGTTGGATCATTGTAGTATGTTGGGTCTATGTTGTGTGATAAATTTGTATTGGATCATTCTTTCCATGATTGATCTTCTAGGAACCTCACAGCATTTGACCAGAAAACTACTGGACTATGTTTGGGCGATATGAACTTCCAACCTCTGTGTTCTTCATCATATCTGATAAAGATTGCGGGGATGGCAGTATCATCCAGCTTGTTTCTTTTTGCTTTAGGCACATGTACCTGTCATGGATTGGGAATTGGGTAACCAAACCAAAACATAGTGAGCAGCAAAACCACTACACCAGCTAGTCCCTTTGCTGGTGTACCCAATTCATACAACACTGAAGTATAAGCATTGCACTCCTCAATGCTCTGGACTTGGAGAACAGACATCTATTCATTCCGGTGACAGTACCCAAGCAAGACACCCAAAAGTCCAGAGCATGTGGAAAGGTTTTCTTGGGTCTTTGTCATAGAATACATTATATGAAATGCAACCTTTGACATTTGGTATGAGATTCTTTGTAAAAGCTGCTGCTTTGGCTGTGTATGGTCAGAATGTCTGTGGTCACTTGTGAGATCACATCATCACCATCATCATATCCTTGATGGTCCTGATAGTTCTCTCTGCTTTTCCATTCTGTTCACTAGTGTATGTCATTGTCTTTTGCCATCAAAAACCAGCATTGTTTTGCCATCTGGTAGTTTTTGTGGAAGTCTATTCCATTCCATTGTCCGATCAGAGGGTCTTGAGCTTGTTCCCAGTTTGAGTTTCGGCATAGTTTATCCACTCCTTCAATACTATCATGAACCGGCCCAGCGGTTGGCAAGGACAAGGGCGAGATGGCGAGGCAGAGGAGACTACCAGACTTCGGAAGGAGGATAGATGATCTGTAGATTGAGAAAATGATTTACAATCTCTTTTCCTTAAGGAAAAAGAGAAGGAAGGAGCTAACTATGTGATCAAAAGTACAAGGCTTGAGGTGACGAGTCTAAGACTCTTTTTGTAGGGAAATGCCAAATCCATGTTAGATCTATGATAATTATGAGAGGGGTCATGACCGAGTTGTGACAGTATCCCCCCCCCTGTAAAATTAATGATGACAGGGGAGGAGTCTAGCACTGAGGATGAGATGGGCAGGTTGGGTTGTCAGCATGGAATGCAGCAACCAAGTTGCTAGCATGGGTGAGATTCAAAGCAGGCTCCCAAGAGTTGTGGTCTGGCCTGTATCCTACCCAGCAGACAAGGTAGAAGAGTGGATTGTTGAAGTGATGATCAACTTTGCTGTTGAGGACCTGCACAACTTTGTATTCCATATCA